TAATCCAAAATGGGTATCCTTATACTAGGATCAGTTGGAAGTTTAATGATATCAAATTCTACATTATTCGACATTCTCGGGATCCCCTATCAACATTTACGTTGTCCAAATCAGTTTTTATTTGAAAGAATCTCTTCATAAGATTTCAATTTTCAACAATATTCAAATTTCAACAATTTCAATTCAACAACACCCAAATTTCAACAATTTCAATTCAAAATTTCAGTAATTTCAATTCAATAATACCCAAATTTCAGCAACTTCTACTCAACAATACCCAAATTTCAATTCATAACATACTAAGTGACTAGCAGTTGAATCTCTATACCACCAGCAGGCCAGAGGACCAGAAGGTCCAGAACAACAGAAAATCATTCTGTACGTAAAGGAAAATAAATAAAATTTCCATCCATTCTTCAAATAAATAAACTTAATGTAGGTTATAAATTTAACACTGATTTCAACTTACATATTCTGAAAAATGGAGAATTACAAATTTACAATATAAGCGCGAGAAATTCGTTAACAATAAGTAATTTAATTGTAAAATAAAAGTATCGAGCTTACGATTTACGAAGATAGATGATTCTCAAGAGAAAGAAGACGAAAGAAATTTGAGGTCGGGTGCTTCACAATCGGGTGCAAAGTGAAAGTATCGAGCATACGGGTCATGGGTCAGCTCTGAAATGGAGTAGACGGGGGCGGAGCCAAAAGGACTTGAGAGATTGATGATCGGAGGGCCTAGGGCTAGAGGCGGTGCAGAGGCTACGTAAATGGAGAAGACGGGTGGGATTTGGGAAATGAAATGGAGCAGACACGGGTGGGAAGTGAAATGGTTTTTACATTTTTTGGATTGGGCTGGGCCTTCCTTCTTGGGCTGGAACTTAACATATAACTTAAAAAAAATTCGGGCCCAAAAGTTCAGTGTGGGCATGTGCCGACACTGGACCACACTGGGCTCCGCCCCTGCTTGTGCCCATCCTTATTTAGCATAGGGAAGATTACATATTCAAGAGTATAAATTTAGTCTATTTCAAAAATAAGAACACACGTTTAAAATAACCAAAATCAGATTTTTTTTAGATTTTTTAAAAATTTTTTTATGAAATAATAAATTATTAAATTAATTTATTATTAAATATTTAATTATAACATAATATAATTAATTCATCCCACCTTCACCACCTCTACCGCTCCGGCGACCGTTTCGATTACTGCCCTACTCCGGCAACCTCTTCGACTACTACTCAGATTTCGGTGACCGTTCCGGCCACTGCTCCGGCTCCGATAACTTAGATCACAAGTCATAGTCCATGTCACAACTCAGGTTACAGTCCAATTCACAAGTCACAGTCCAGGTCACAACTCATATCACAGTCCAATTCACAAGTCACAGTTCAGGTCAACTCAGGTCACAGGTCACAGCCTAGGTCTCCACTTGAAATTTTGTTCACGAAACACAACACAGATTCAAACAACTGCCGCCCGCACCTCACCATACCACCGGACCATCGCCTGCATCACACCACCACCATTAAAAAAAAAAAAACACCGCCTCAGCTGCTTGCAACACCTCACCGTCAAACGGCCCCATTTACAGACCACCACCAACTACCGCACCACCA